CAGTGTTGAGTGACTGTTTCAAAGCAGGAGACATAGAGATCCCGCTGGTGTGTACCTAGGTTGTTTCTGATTGGCTCACACATCGAGGGGTCCTAACATCCTTGGATACAATCCTCAAATACAGCGCATAATTTGCTTTAGGAGGGACGATGAGATGTTCAGGGCAGACACTTCCTCATCCACAGATTTCAACTTTATTTCTGTTGCTGTGATAAAATACTCGGACAAAAAGCATTGTAAATGAATTTTAATAAACCTTATTAATTAATCATCAATGTGACAAAGTCAGGCCCCCAATAACTGAGCAGAGTCCTATGGATTAATCAGCTCTTGTACAATAACAGGGGAATTACCCCTAGTCTACATTTCTGTTTGCTAGACTGTTAATTCCCAGCTGTGCTCCCCAAATACTTGCTGTTTGAATCTCGCCTGGGTTACTTTTCTCTGTCTGTCCTGGGGGGACATTCAGGTACATAGTCCTTGTCCACCAGGTCAATGGGGACCTTCTGCTCCATCTCTCTCCCTCCTTCTCGTGATCCCTAGCTGTGACCCCCAGCTCCGTAACTGGAACTCCGCCTCTTCTATTCTCTCCAGTAATTGGCTGCAGCCACTTTATTTTAACCAATAGCTTTACATCGGGGGAGCAAGGTTTACATAGCGTCACTTGGTGTACATAAGGATCTGCTCACAGCGGGCAACTGGATCTTGAGGGCCAATATTTAGCATTTGAATACATAGCAGCACCAGACCAACCCTCAAATACAGCAACTTAAGGGAGAAACATGTCACAGTCCATCACAATTCCAGGTGACGGTCTGTCACTGCAGGGGAGTCAAGGCAGGAGCTTGAAGCAGCTGGTCACATCGCAGCCACAGTCAGGTAGAGAGGGGAATGCGTGCACGCATGCTCCATGCACAAATAGCTTTCTCTAGTCTTACACAGTCCAGGGCCCCAGAACAGAGCATGGTGCTGTCCTCTTTCAGGCTGAGCCTTCCCACTTCAATTAACACAATCAAGATGGTCCCTACAGACATGGCAACCAGCACATCAACATGACACACGGGCACATCACTAAGTCACAATCCCCCGTCTCCTGTCCACAAGGTCTCATGTTTATCTCATAGTGTAAAATATAGCCCAACCTTTAAAAGTCTTCACGTATTTAAAAGTTGGAATACCTTAAAAGTCCTAAGTCTCTTAACTGCGAGCAACTATAAAAAGAAAAAGAAATTTTGTACTTCCAACATACACTACTGGCAGGGAACAGAAGAGACCAAGGAGTTGGAGGGCCTCCCTTTGTAAGAACTCATTCTGGAAAAATACAGTGTTCTTCTGTCAGCAGGGTGGAGCTTTCACGAACCCACTTTTCTTAAAAGAGGTTTAGTTTTTATTTATGTATGAGCATGTATGTGTATGCATGTATGTGTATGTGTACATGTGTACATGAGTGCAGTACCTGTAGAGACCATAAGAGGGCGCCAGATCTTCTAGAGCTGGAGTTATAGGTTAGGAGATGCCCACGTGGGTATTGGGAAGCGAACTGTATCTTCTGAAAGAGTACCAAGTACTCTTATCCACTGAACCAGCTCTCAGTCCCAGACCTCACTTCTTAAAGGTCTGGCTACTTCAGCACTGCCAAACTGGACACCAGGCTTCTGATGCTTTAGGAGGCTGAACCATATCCAAACCACACAGTATGTCCTTCCTTCCATCTCCCACCTAAAGGCTCAAGCCTCACATTCCTTCAGTTCCTCAAAGCCCAGGTGCGGTGCTGGAGGTGTGGTGCTGGAGATTCAGTAGCATCTGCTCTGGGTGGCTTACATTCATCCTTGAAGCTCCGACTGAGAATTTTCTAACATGAGAAGTTGTTTTGTGTCTTTGAACTTCTTCCCCTCGATACCACACACACACATACTTTCCTGGCAGCATTTATCGTACAGTCTTGCCATCACTACATCCTTGGTTATAATAAAACCTTTGGATTTGGAGTTTTCTATAGTCAAGAACCATGCCTCTCACACTGGGCAGTGGTGGCACACACCTTTAATCTCAGCACTTGGGAGGCAGAGGCAGGCGGATTTTTGAGTTCGAGGCCAGCCTGGTCTACAGAGTGAGTTCCAGGACAGCCAGGGCTACACAGAGAAACCCTGTCTCAAAAAATCAGAAAAACAAAACAAAACAAAACAAAACAAAACAAAACAAAACAAAACAAAAAACCATGTCTCTCTATTTCTGCAACTTAACAGTGTGATGTGTAGCAATCTCCTCTGAACTGAAACATTCTTTCCAAATGGAGCCTCATGAGACTCAGGAAGTGAACAACTTAGGAGTCCCAGGAAGTCCCTGAAGCTAGCCAGACCAACTTATGGAAGCAGGTGGAGGAGACTCTCTGACTTGGTGAGCTGCCTGCAAGCTACCCAGGGAGATCTGTGGATGTAGCTTTTCTAAGTTGGGGCCAGTAGGTTGGGGTGGGCTTTTGGTGATGCCATTGGGACATCCCTGCTTTGGTAAGTAATTCCTCATTTATACTCCTATAAATCAGCCCAATAAATGTCGTTGGTTCTCAACTTGGCCTTTGGTGGAATCATTACTTATTATTGATTTTATGACACAGGATCTTACTGTAACTTAGTCTAGTCCAGTAACTCTCTGTAGCCCAGGTTGGCCTCAACATCATGGCATTCTCCTGTATTAGCCTCCCCGCTGTTGGGGTTTGTTGAAGCATGAGCTCCCATGCTTGCCTCATGTTCCCAGGATAGGTAATAAAAGACCTCAGTCCTATAGAAGGTTCAAAAGGGAAGGCAGTGACATTATTGTGGAAAGAGAGTGCTAGAGACAGAAGGAGCCAGGCTGAGAGAGACATAATTACTGGTGGTGTTAACCCCAACAAGTGGACATGGTTTAGGCTAAACAACTATCCTGGTTTTCCCCAACACTATCGGTTTGAACCAGAAAGTTGTGTGTATCCCAGGAACAGCTTCAGTCCAGGCAGACCCAGACTGGCCATCCCAGGATAAAATACTGATTATTGGACGGAAGGGCTCTCTCGGCTTTCTCCTTTGGATTGCAGGGGGAGGATAGGATTAATGAAATATCTGGGCTCTAGAGTCAGAGCAGAGCTTTGTTTCTCAACTGTGTGGCCCTCACAGTTACTTAACTTTTGGAGTCCAGTTTCCTGTATTCTGGAAAAAAAAAAAAAGAGTCACACAGAAGCATCTCTCTCAAGGAGGGTTCGCCTTGTCTGTGTGTGTGTACTCCTGTGTATGAATGTATATGGAGGTCAGGGGTCAGCCTATTTTTCTGTGCACCTTAGTTTTAAAAAAGATCTAGCCATTTTTATTTTATGTTTATGGGTGTTTTGTCTGCATGCGTGTGTGTGTGTTTATACACCATGCACATGCAGAACTTGTGGAGGTCAGAAGAGAGCACCAGCTCCCCAGGAGCTGGAGTGACAGATGCCTGTGAAGCACCCTTAGATCTGGGAACTGATCGAGAGATACTCTATAAGAATCACAAAGGCCCTTTACCACTGAGCCATCTTTCCAGCCCCTGCACCTCACTTTTCAAATAGAATGTCTTTTATTTATTCTTTGACAACTTCATACACGTACAAAATGCATTTGATTTTATATACTCTCAGCTTCTCCCACTTTCCCGGGATCTCCATCACTTGCCTCCTTCAAGACCCCTCCCCCCCTTTTTTTAAATAACCCATTAAATTAGTGCTCCCGGTTGAAATGTTGACTGGCCTTGTTGACTTGATATTTTGTGTGGTTAGCCATAGGCACAATGAGTTCGTGGTCCATCTTATTTCTTTTGACAGGGTGTCTTAGTTAGGGGATTATTGCTGTGAGGAAAAGCAAGTTGAGGAAAGCCCCTCCCTGAGATCCAGCTGCAGGGCTTTTCTCAATTAGTAATCAATGGGGGAGGGCCCAGCCTATGGTGGGTGGAGCCATCCCTAGGCTGGTAGTCCTGGGCTCTGTAAGAGAGCAGGCTGCGTGTTGGTAATTCCTCTAGGCTCCGCCCAACAGCTACCTAGCAACAGCTTGCGTCTCCACCCGCCAGATTCGAAGACTACTGTTTACCACATTCTCTCTCTCTTCCCTACATGTCTCTGGCTGCCCTCTACCTCGCTTTCTCTCTCCTCTCTCTTTCTGTCCTTCTCTGTCCCCCTCCTGTCTCTGCCTCTACCCCCTTTTCCAGGTTCCCTTCCCTTCCCTCAATAAACTTCCTTTTGTTCTAGGCTTGATGGTGATTCTTCAGGGGACCACTTAGGCATGGGCCTGCTGATGTGCTCCCTGTCGCCGCATTATACCGCCGTTTTAAAAAGCACAACACTGAGCAAGCCAGGGGAAGCAAGCCAGTAAGCAGCGCCCTTGATGGCCTCTGCATCAGCTCCTGCCTGCAGATTCCAGCCCTGCTTGAATTCCTGTCCTGACTGCCTCCAATGATGGATTGTGATCTGGAAGTGTAAGCCAACTTGTAGCTCACTGATTGGCTAAACTGGCTGGCCAGTGAGTGCAGTGGACTATCTCCACTTCCTCAGTGATGGGATCACAGGGGCTCGCTGACATGCCCACCCCTCTTAAAGTGGGTGATGGAGATCCGAACTCAGGTCGAACCTGGCATGTGGAGCAAGCACTGTATAGACTGAGCTATTTCCCTAGCTGCTGTAGGTTCAGTTTTTAAAGGGTCTGTGCACGCAGGCGCGCGTTTGTAATCAGACTCGCATTAGCGCATTCTAGACTAGCATATTCCCTCATCAGCCGTCTTAATTTCTTTCTTTTTCGAAATTTTGCATTTCCCTGTCTGGTACCACTGCGCTTCACTGAGCACTACCCACCACGAGGGGGCAGAAGAGACCCAACCAAGACAGGTGCTTCTCTAGCCCTCCTATCTTTCTCTATGGTGCCTGCCGGTCCAGCCCCCGGGGGCGGAGCTACTGCCACGTGACCTGGGTGCCAGGCGACCGCGCCGGCGCAGTGGCCGCGCCGCTGTCGCCAGGCGCCGTCCCCCTGCGCCGCTCCGCCCGGTGGCCGGCTGAGGCTGCAGCCCCGGGCTCAGCGGCTCCGGCTCCTTCCGCGGCGAGCCGTGTGCCGCCGCAGCCATGTCCCGAAAGCAAGCGGCGAAGAGCCGGCCGAGCAGCGGCAGCCGCAGAGCCGAGGCGGAGCGCAAGCGGGACGAGCGGGCGGCGCGCCGGGCGCTGGCCAAGGAGCGGCGGAACCGGCCCGAGCCTGGCGGCAGCGGCTGCGAAGAAGAGTTTGTGAGCTTCGCCAACCAGCTGCAGGCCCTGGGGCTGAAGCTGCGGGAGGTGCCGGGGGACGGGTGAGGCGGGCCGGGAGTGCGGGAAGCGGCGCTGGGGATGCGCAGGGCCCGTTGCCGAGAGGGAAGCAGGGGCCAGGCTAGGTGGAACGCTGCAGCAAGGTCCCCCGAGGGTCCGAGCCGGTCTGAGAGGTGACCTCGAGGTGCAGCTGTCATGAAGCCAAATGGGAAGGGACCTAGGTCCCACTCGGTATCATGCTGGTCCTCCTGACTGTCCTCGCCCCCTTCTGCACTGGGATAATGAGGGTGGAGAGCTGAAGGTGGCTTCCCAGTGCTTGCTTTCCACGCTTTGGGTTCCCCAAGTGCAAGGCGTGAGAATCCCGGGCCAGCTGTTTCGGGGAATCCGATACGAGTGGCTGCTGGAAACTGAGAGCGGAGGAAGGCGAGGGAAAGCAACTTAATGGAACGGGGACGTGGGTCCAGGAACGTGGGGAGAGAGAAGGAAAAGAGTAAAGAGACGGGGAGAGGAACGGGTTAGCAGGTCCGAGGGAGCCTGGCTGCGAGGTGTGTTGTTGCAAGAGGCACTGTTAGTGTGTTCTCCTTGATGAATGGTCAGACTGAGCTGTGGAAGAGTAGAATACAGCTAAGGAGTCTACAAAGGCAGATGTGGCACTGAGGCTGGGGGATTGCCGTGAGCCTGGGCTGTAGAGTGACAGAGTTTCAAAAAACCAAACCAAACCAAAGAAACCTCGAGAGCCTTAGTTAGAAATTGGGGGGGGGGGTCCTTTGTTCCTGTTCTTCCCCCCCTCCCCCACCTTGAGAAAGTGTCTCACTATGTAGTTTTGGGGCTGGCCTGGAATCCTCTGTGTAGACCAGGTTGCCCTTAAACGCATAGCCTGCTGGGATTAAAGGTATGTTCCTCCGACTCTGCATAAAGTGTTTTCTTTACTTCATACACTAATTTTATTGATCAAGACTTAACAAATTAACTCCATTTGTCTCTCCTGCCTTCAGAGTTTCAGGCAGATTGGATAGGTGTTTTGCTTAAGTTGCAATTAGAATTTAATTGTATTCGGCTGCCACCTCCGACAGTTCCTGGGTCATAGAAGGCACTCAGGACTTTCTTGTTTTTCAGGGATTAGAAACTATCAAGGGAGGCCACCCAGCTCCAGCAGAAGCACAAACTGCGGTAGCCATCAAATCATCAAGTAAAGCTGGGCGAGGTGGTGCATGGCTTTAAACCCAGCACAGGGGAGGTAGAGGCAAAAGGTATCAGGGTTTGAGGCCAGCCTGGCCTACAAATGGAGCCAGGGTTGTTACAGAAACCTTGTCTCGAAAAACAAAGCAAAAAGCATCAAAGTTGAATGCAGTGGATCCAGGTGTGCGGTTCTGCAAATGGTTAGATTGTATCCGTCGGACTGAGAATGGTTTCTCTGTGTCAAAGAAATAGGCTTGGGAAATGGGAACTCCACAATTGCTCAAGAACTGCAAGCCTGACTTCCACGAGGAGACTTCCGTGAGGTTCTGAGGAAATTTGGGAGTGTCCCTTTTGTCTTTCCTCCACTAGGAGAGCAGATTTCTTCAGTTACTCCTCATAGATTGCTAGCGTGGAGTGCTGGGAACAGGATGGTGGCTGAGATACAGTAGGTTCGCAGTAAGGAGGCGTGTAACAGTAGGCCACTTATGCTTTGGTTTTGGGGCCCTTTTGTGTTCTGAAAAATTGCTGAGGAGTAAGCAGACATCCATAGCTCAATATTTACCACATTCGTAATTTAATGACACAGGAGTATCCAGACGTGGACCCATTAGCCATCTTGTTTTGAGACAATAGCCTTTTTTTTTGTTTGTTTCCCCCCAGACAAGAAGGGTTTCTTTATTTAGCTCTGGCTGTCCAGGAACTCACTACTGTGTAGACCAATTCAAACTTACAGAGATCCACCTGTTTCTGTCTCTCGAGTGCTGGGATTAAGGGCGCTGCACCACCTTGCCGTGTGAGTCTCGAGAACTAAGGCATACTTACGAGAGAGTGAGGATGAAGAAGATAGAGGCCTTTGTTCTGAGCTTACGGATACCCTGAAGGGTCTCAAGGCCCCCTGGGCTATACTTGGGGAGCAGGTTGACAGTTCATAAGGGACCATTGGGAGGAAGTAGCTGCCGTTCCTTGAAGTGCCAAGGAAGACCTTCTCTTCCTCAGCCAGCAGATCCAGCGACTTCCATGCGTAAGGTACTGGAGCAGGTTCACGAAAGAACAGGAGGAGTTTGTCTCTGTGGGATGAGTGCCGGGTGGAAGGCCAGAGCAGGTGTGTCTGATAGCTCCGAGTGCTGCAGTTTAATCAGGGTAGGAGTACTGTGAAGTGAGGGGCAGAGGCTAGCTACTTCCCAGTCTGTTGCTGGGCAGTGTTAGGTGGCTCCATGCTAGCCTCCTGCTGTGTACAAACCTTCACTGAGGTGACATCCATGGGCTGGCTTTGCTGGTCTAGTGTTGTACTGTCATACTTCCGTCATTGAAGTGAATGGTATTTCCTATGTAGGTGGTGGTTTGGAAAGGTCACAGATCTTTCCTCTAGATAGGGTTTCTCTGTGTAGCTCTGGCTATCCTGAAATGCACTCAGTAGAACAGGCTGGCCTCGAACTCAGATTGCCTGCCACTGCCTCCCGGGTGCTGGGATTAAAAGCTTTTGTCAACATTGCCCAACTAACAGATTATTTTATGCGTTAATATTTGTTGAGTAGTGTTTGGCTAAGATATAGAGATGTTGCTAATTTAAAAATAGTTACCAGTTTCTCTGTTCTGTTTTGGCCTAGTTACATTTCGAATGGCCTAAGATGGAGACTTGCTACAGCAGGCATGTTCGTGGAAGTATTCTGTGATTGGTTGTTTTTCTGAACTCTACTGCAGGACCTTATGTCTGTGTATCCCTAAAGTGCAGTGTTTCTCAAGCAGGGATGATTTTGCCTCCCAGGGGACGATTGGACTGCCTGGAGACATTATTGGTTGTCACAGCTGGTGAGGAGGGAGGTGGTCCTGCCATCTGGTGCCCTTAGCTGAGGGTGTTCCTGAGGATGGACAGTGAGCAGGACATTCCTCACAGCACAGACTGACCTCAGGTGTCTGTAGGGCGGGCACTGAGCAGCCTGGCTGCCTTGCAGTGGTGAGATCATGAACTTGGGGACCAGCTGGATCTCTGGGAGGCCCCAAGGGCCCTGATGCTGGGCTTGGTGGCATCGGCAGTTTCCAGAGCTTCCTAAGGGAACCCAGGTCACTGTTGTGTTTGTTATATTTCCTCTGTGGCTGCCTTATAATCTTATCAGGAAAACATGTTATTGCAGTGTTTTTGACTTGTCTTTAGTGGGCTCAAGTAAAGACTGGCAGATGAAAAGTGTTACTTGCACATAGGGTAAGTCCAGCTAATGTTTGGTGTTCATGTTTGGGAGAGCCATGGCTAGAGCCAGGCTGCTCAGGTTTGCATCTTGGACCCAACACTTTTCCCACTGGCCATCTTGATAGCCCTGTCACTAGCATTTTAATTTTAGAGAACAAACAAGATGCTTAAAAGTGGCATTGTTCCCTGGTGACAAGGTGAGCGAGCTTGGGGCTGTGTCTTTCCCTGGTGTGCTCAGGTACTTCTTCCTTGGCTCTCGGTAGAGCTTGGACAGGTACAGACTTCTGCTGGTTTTGTTTGTTAAGTAAGCACTCAGTGAGTGACGTCCTAGCTGGGCAGTTTTAGTGAGGCTTGGTTCAGAAGGGTATCGGTAGGTGTGACATTATTTTGGGAGTTTTAGACCTTAGGTCTGGAGTGGTGTGTGAGTTCTACGTCCTGAAGTGAGGCACTGGTTATCATCTCCACCATTGAACCAACTGAGGCCCTGAGAAAATGTTTTTATTCTTTGAGCTGGTAAACAGGGATGAGAATCCTTATTTGCTGCCTTGCAAGTGGGTGATAAGGCTGGAGTCTGCCCTAGAGCACCCCCCTCAGCATCTGGTCTGAAGAGCCAAGGTGTCTCCTCCTCTGAGAGTAAGGACAGCCAGATATGTTAGAAGAACTCAGTCGGTTTTTGAAAGATCTTAACCAGTATGTTTGTTTTGACAGCAATTGCCTGTTCAGAGCTCTGGGCGACCAGTTGGAAGGCCATTCCAGGAACCATCTTAAGCATCGACAGGAGACTGTAGACTACATGATAAGGCAGCGTGAAGATTTTGAGCCCTTCGTGGAAGACGACGTTCCCTTCGAGAAGCATGGTAGGTTCACGGTGGGACCCTGGGTCCTTCAGGAGTCATGCTGGGTAATCAATCAGCCCACCAGCACCTTGCCCCCACTGCCAGGGCTTGCTATGTAAAGCATGCCATTCATTACTCAACAAACACTTTGCTTGCATATTCCGTGATAAGCCCAAGTTGGGAATCCATAGATTTACATGTATGTCTCCACCTATAAAAGAGATGGTTCAGGGCGTGGCTCAGCCAGAGGGTGCTTGCCTCCATCACATCCCAAACAGAAGAAACAGAAAGGAGGTGTTGCTGACTGAGGAGAGTTTGTGACCTCTGTCAGTGGGGTGGGAGATAAGCTGTGCATACACAGTCGACTTTTTAGGCAGTCTTTGTGCAGGTGGTAGATGTGTGCAAAGGTGCGGGCATTTTATGGTGTTTTTTTTCTTGCTTTTTAAAATTTTATAAAAAGGAGATAATAAAGCACCTGAAAGGATTTTTTTTTGTGTGTGTGAACATTAAATTAGGTAACAAAATTAAATTCTTAATCGGTTAGCTGTTTAAGGATGGTGGAACTATAGATAGGTTTGCTTTCTGTAGTTTTTTTTTTTTTAATCATGTATTTATAACTAGAGAAAAGAAATCAGCAAGCCCATGATAACATCTTACCATAAACCTAACCACAACCCTTCCACCGCCCCTTTTTGAGGCAAGTCATTGGTTTTAATTTTAATGATTCTAATTAGTTGTAACTTAATTTGCCAAAAATCTATCCAAAATTTATATGAACTTCAAATGTTAGTGTTGACAAATTTATGTTTTGTAGATACCATTTTCCCTTTGGTTTCGGTGTGTGTGTAGTCTGACCTTTTGACCCTCCCAGATGTAACCCATGCTACCACACCCAGTTTATGGGACTCATAGCTGCTCTCCTGCTGAACAAGTGCTCTCCCAGCTGAGCTGCGTCCCCACCACAGCCAGCATCTTCACCGCATGGTTTACATCTGTGTCTTACCGGGGTCCGGCAGCGTAGTCTCTGTTCTGATGACAGTGTGGCCCCACACTGAGAATGGGTGGGAGCTAGTCTAGGAGGAGAGGCTGCTGAGGAGGCTCTCCATATTGGCAGTTCTAACAGTCCAGTTTACTTATTTAGGAAGACCCAGGGGATTTAGCTCTATGCATGGAGGATAGAGGGAGGTGTATGTCTGGTACACTGTCAGTGACCCAATGCCATTACTAGTCCTTACTGGGAATGGGCACATGGACCTCTGGGTGGGTAGTGCGTACCTGTCACTGAGCTCTGGTGGCCCTCTCCCTGGGATTGCTTTTCAAGCAGGCAGTTTCAGAGTTAGCATTTTACAGTTTTATGTGCGTGTGTGTGTGTGTGTGTGAGAGAGAGAGAGAGAGAGAGAGAGAGATTTTTTTAAAATGAATCCTGTTATTGAGTGTGCAAGTGCACACTTGTCCTAGCACTCAGGAGGCTGAGGCAGGAGATCAGGAGGCTGAAGGCAGCCTGGCTGTAAATGAATGAATGATACCTGTCACTTTTCCATGTTACTTTGGATGAAATTTGAGCTGAGTTCCACTTGGACATCTTTAGGGAAGGCCTTGTCGTGGGTTTGGGGTGTGTGAGTGTGTTAGAACAGGGAGCTCAAGGATTCAACTGCACTGTGATGTCACTTTAGCTGTGAAAGGTATTTTCTTGAAATGTCACTGCATGGCTGAGCACTGATTCGTAAAACTGTGAACATCAAACAGGTGACAAACGGCTTAGGAACAGAAACAAAAGTGATGAATGTCAGGCCCACTGCCTTTATCTCCCAACACAGGTCCAGTTTTATGTCTGTCTGCCTTAGTATACTGTAAGTTTTTCAGGGACAAAGTGTAGTGTCTTTGTTGAGGTCCAGCCATACCTGGCATTTGGAGGCATTCCTGCAGTATTTGCTGGATCAGTAGTCAAATGTCTTAGTTAAGTGGTGAAGACTTGGTGACCTTTGCACTTGGTTCTCTTTACAGAATTATTCTCACCCTCTGCACTGAGGCTTTGTAGAGTCGGCACCATCTCTCCGAATCTGTATGGATACCCAGATCAGAACTCTGGCTGGCCTAATACCTCATCTCCCCACCTCCTCCCTCCTGCTCATTCCTTGGGTCTTGGCCATTTTCCTTAGCAGTTTTCTCTTCTCACCACCTGGGTTGGGTAGTTTTTATTGTCACTTGACGTAATGTAGGGTCACCTGGGAATGGAGGCTGCGCCTCACTTCAGTTGAGAATTTGCCTAGATCAAATTTGCCTGTGGACATGTCTGTTGGGGATTGTCTCGATTGCTAATTGATGTAGGAGGGCCCAGCCCATTGTGGGTGGCACCATCCCTAGGCTGGTGGTCCTGAGCTGCTTGAGAGAGCTAGCTAAGCATAGGCTTAAGATGAGCCAGTAAGCATCTTTTTCCTGAGCCTGCTTCTGGGTTCCTTCAGTAAATGGACTGAAGCAGTTAACTCCTACTTGGCCTTAGAGCATCCTGGCAGTTCATCTGACACATGTCATTCTCCTCCCCCTATGCACACACACAGACAGACAAATGGGGACACACACACACACACACACGCACGCACGCACGCACGCACGAGTGTGTTTCAGATGTGGAGCGAGGATAGGAGCATAGCACAGCTGTGCAGATTCTGACTGCACCTGCAGGTTTCAGATTCCCACATTCACAGGGGCTTTTCTTACAGCTATGGTCTGTGGGGAAAGGGAACAGGCAAAGTTAACAAGGGGAAGACTGAGGCCAGCCTCAGAAGTTCCACACACACTGCTTCTTTGTTCTCCTAGGGAAGCTTTATGCTCTTGGCATTTCTGTGTTATGGCACAGAGCAGTGGTGTCAGCTGGAAGTTGCTTACTGCAACTTCAGAATCCAGACTTGAATGTAGCACATGGCTGCCCATGTAGAGTCTGTTAGCACCTGTAGCCTAGGGTCTACCATGCACAAGAGACTCGCCTTTCTTCTTTGGAAATTCCAAAGGATTGGAGGTTACTTTGGGAGAGCCTGGGGTAAAGGCAGACCAGCCCTTCCCTGAGGCACTCATTTATCAGTATTGTGCTTGTTATTCTGATTGATCTGGGCAGAGTGACAGAGGGGCCACTAGCCAGGGCTGTGGAGTCAGCCGTGGAAGTGAGAGCTCACTCACCAAGTCAGGCTCTGTGGCCTTGGGCTAGTTTTAGCTGCCCTCACCTCAGCTTGTTCCTGTTTCTAGTGGAGAGTGAATGATCCTTCCAGAGCCCTGCCATGATGGTTAAAAGTGATGATTTCTGAGAAATCCAGAACAATGCTTGACCCACTGGTGTGCACTGCTGCCATTACTGTTCGTTGTTTGCACACCATGTCTCTTACAGAGCCAGGTAGATCGGAAGCACGCAGCATTGACTGAAGGAATTAATCAGCAGATCCTTCGCTGATGGCAAACACCCCGTGTGTCGTTCACCTTTAAGTTCCTAGACTGACAGTCGGTGGACTTCGCAGATGTGTGTTCTTGCTGCTCACTGCTTGCCGCTGCGTAAAGACACACATGTTTGCATTTGCTATTTCCATCATAAAGACTTCATTTTTTTCTTTCCTGTTTCCATGCAGTGGCCAGTTTGGCAAAGCCTGGTACTTTTGCTGGCAATGATGCAATTGTAGCCTTTGCAAGAAACCATCAGTTGAATGTGGTGATCCACCAGCTTAACGCCCCTTTGTGGCAGGTAGGTCACCTGTTTAGGAATTTACCTGTAAGTTAGCTCTGGGGATGTCCTTTAGATGATGGGTTTCACTTGTGACACTGACCTCTGGAGAACAGCTTGGACATGAGCCTGAAGATGGGGATCTCGTGGGATTTGGAACTAGCCCTTTGCTGAGTGCAAATGGAGTCTGAGTGTGAGTGGGAAGTAGTTTATGATGCTGGCGACATTACTCAGCAGTCAGCTACGTGGGTAATTTGGGGATAGAACCTGATGTGGAAATACTTCAGATAATTCTATTAAACTATCTTGGTATATAAATACAAATAGTAGCTTTGAAGTATGCCCATTCCCCTGTGGTTTGATGTGTGTGATTTTTAGGAGTAGAGAAGCATCATAAAGTCCATTATGACGACTGCAGTGGCTGTGATGACTAAGAAGGTTGTCTGAGCAGCAGATTCAGTGCAACGACTGCACGCGCTGTGATGACTGAGAGGGTTGTCTGAGCCGCAGAGTCAGTGCTGCTTTTCACTCAGCTTGATTTCTTTGTTCTGCTTTTTTCTACAATAAGTATTTTATAGCAAGTGTTTGCTCCAGGCTGAGCCCTGCTAAGCCACACACCCTCCATTGTGAAGTACGTGTCCATTCAGCTCCTTCACCTTCTCTTTCCATCCTGCATTAACCTTACCTGTCACTCAGAAGCCAGCCGGTCCCCACTGCGCACCCCACTCCCTGATTCATTCTCTCAGAGTTCAGAGGGTCTCTGTCACTCTGCGGCTCAGGTCCAGACATGGCTCCTGCTTTCTCTGACCAGCTGCTCTTTGTCACCATTTTGAACTTTGTCTTATTTAGAAAGTTAAAATGTTTTAAGTGAAGAAAAACCAGGAAATTCAGAAAAGTCCCTGCAGGTAAGTAAGGTCACCAGGGTCACGCTGACTGGGATTGTGACTGGTAACATTTTTAGTGAGTGTCCGCCATTTCCCCGACACTTGGGCATATGATTGGAGAGTGCATATCACAGTGTTTTCACAATGATTTTTAAACACAGCTACACAGATTCACTCACCACACACACACACACACACACACACACACACACACACCCCTGCGTGCATTATTGTATTAAAGGTGTGGTGCCTACATGTATGTCTCTGTGATTCCCTCAGTCATGGCCTGGCCCTTTTTCTTTTAAAAAGAGGATTCATGGTTTAGAAATATCAGTTACCCATACCAGAATTCACCCTTTCCCGGTTTTTACTTGTATATTCTGACGTTCCCATAATGCCACCATTAGCATATGGAATAGCCCCACTCTGCCCAACTTCTGGGAGCCTTGTGGGTGTGTTTTTTGTCACATAAATGGAAGTCATCAGCCTTTTGTATCTGACACAGTGTCCTTTTAACAGCCTTACAAAGGACAGAGTGAGGTGGATGCTGGCGGGGCTGGGGAGAATGTCCACTTGAGGGACACAGCAGGCGAGTGAGCATGAGGGAAACAGGCTCCATGGCCTTGCCTAGTGTTAACAGGTGTCATATAGCAGACAAGACCCTGTTTTCAGTGGGTGCTTTTAAGAGTGATCTGCTGGCCCAGAACATGGCTGCCCCTGCAGTTTTGGTTTGATAATAGTTTACGCTGTCAGCAGGATTGTCGGGGCACCAGAGTATATTGTGTGAGCAGCCTACTAGGAGAAACTCATGCACCTACTAGGGCAGCCACCCTCTGCTTTCCCTACAGATAACCATTACGTTTCTTTATTGCCCTGATTCTTACTTTTTTTCCAATTCTTTCTGTAGTGTTCTGGCTTATGACTTGCAAAACAATGAGACTATATATTTAAAACAAATTTATTTCCTACGGCTCTACCCTGCTTGGTGATGCAGTCACAGGTCTGAGCTCTTGCATTAATGATACCTTGGCTCAGACTCAGCATGGACACCGAGACCTGCACTGTCTCCTGCACTGGCATGCTCTCCGGGAGCAGCCTCCATGTGTCGTGTAGCACACAGCAGACCTGGTAGCAACAGCTGCTGAATGTGGCTCCTAACAATTTTTCTGACAATTCTAGTTACTTTGTATTCATAATGTATAGTTAGTAATGTTTAGGAACTTTGTTATGTGACAACAAAGAACATTTCCCCAGTGTTCCTTTTGGGGGCAACAGCGCTGCCACAATGTGGAATGTCCATCCAGACCGTTGTCTATCAGCTCTAGACGGTCTATAGACGCTTTCACAGGTCTGCGTGGGGTTTGTGTGGTCCCGTGGACTTGCTGGTTTTGCACGGTGAATTCTGTTTAAGTTAACAATTGTCTCAGATCCTGGAACTTTTAGTGAAAACAGGAAGAGTGGGTGTGTTGGAGTTTTAATGGTAGCACAGTTACTGGGAGGGCAGTAGGAATTATTTTTGTTTCTGTGACATGGGCGTTTTGGGGTAATCTACCCAGACTGGCACCTAGTTTTGTATGTTTTTGCGTGATTTTAGGGAGTTGGTTTTTGTTGTGTCCCCGGATGTGGTTGAGATGTAACACTCTGGCCAGTGTGCAGGTCTACATGGTGTACTAGTATGGTTTTGTCTTGGAACTGGTGTGAGTGGGAGATTTTAAGATTCTTGGAGCTTGTGTCACTGTGACTGACAGAAAAGGAGGGTGACTTTACTTTAGGTAATGAGCCTTGTCAGGCCCATTTGCCTGGTTCCAGTTTAAGGTCTTCAAGAGGGTCTGTAAACCTTATACTTGACATTTTGCTTCTTTTCTTCAAGGATAATCTCAAACTGTTTGAGCTTCAGGCTCAGCAGATCTGGGTCTGTTTCTGAGTCCTCCCATTGGAAGGAACCTGAGCACTCAAGAGGCTAGGTACTTAATTTTATGACTTAACTGCAGGGCTGCCCCTGGCTTTTAATTCTCTTCCAAATGGATTCATTTGCATGTTGGCAAATGTTCCTGAGGCTGAGAGCTCAGGGACTGGGTCCTAGCAGAGCTATGTCTGTCTGTGTAGGGCCTGCTGGCCCCAACTCCCCACAGGCCCGCCCCCCAGATCTTCTCTGTGTCGGCAGATTCGAGGCACAGACAAAAGCAGTGCAAGGGAGCTCCACATCGCGTACCGGTACGGTGAACACTATGACAGCGTCCGGAGGATCAATGACAACTCAGAAGCGCCGGCTCATCTCCTAACTGACGTGAGTGAAGCCCAGCTCCTGCTTTCAGACCTGTAGGAAACAGGCAGGGAGCTGTGTCCTCGAGCTGAGTGCCTGGGCCAGCCGTTGTTGCTGTTTGTGAAAAGTGCTCCCAGGGAGCTTTCAGGCCAATTGCTAAAATATCTCAGGTGTCAGAGGCACTGCTGCTCTGCCTGACAAGCTGGGTCCATTCTAGGAACCACACGGTAGAAGAAAAGAAGCAGCTTCTACAAGATGTCTTCTGAGATGCACACTGGGTCATGGCACGGGTGTGAGCGCGCGCACACACACACAAATGTAAAAAAACTAAACATGTTTCTTACATTCTAGTGAGGTGAGACCCTACCCCAGCAGGCACCCGTGGTCAGAGCTACACGGATGCAAGTTCTCTGTTTTTCCCCTTAATAGACTTCATGTTGGTCACTTAGTACTTAAAGGATGGGTGAGGTTGCATTATCTATATGGCTTTGTTTCCTGAACCCCCTTGTCTGTGTGTGAGTGACTGTGGTTTTTGTGCTCATGGGTATGTGGGTGCATACGCCTGTGTGTACACCCAGAAGCCAGAGAAGGCATCGAGTGTCCTGTCAACTCCGCCTTATCCTTTTGAGGCAGATTCTCTGATTCTGAGACTTTCAAGGGATTTTTGTTTGCTTTGTCTAGACTAGTAGCTGGAGTGGCCCAGCAGTCCTGCTGTCTCTACCTCCACAGCGCTGGGGTTCAGTCTGCCCTGGGCCATGCTCAGCTTTCTGTTGCTAGGATCCAAATTCAGGTCTTCCTGGTTACACAGAGAACACTTATGACGAACTCGCTATCGCCGGCCCATGTCTGCTATTTTTACCCTTTCTTCAGCACAAGCTGTAACATCTTGTAAGTACTCAGATCCTTCGTGCATTCTCTTTACATTTAATACATCTTGGAGTTTAATTCATAGCAACACACAAAAGACTTCCTGAATCCTTTTGAAGGTTGCGTGTGGTACTCTGCTGTGTGGATCCCTTTCCAGCTGTTAGCAGTCTCTTACCACCCCTCGTAGAGGCCTCCGCGCCCGTGCTGTCAGAGGCAGTTCATAGTGTCTCTCCTGTAGCTCAGTTCTTTAGAATCAATTCAGAGCCGTCTGTGTATCAAGGCGTTTGAAACGTGTTTCCGTATCTCTTGGGTCCTGACTGCAGGACGCAGGCCACTGTCTTCAGTTTGCATTCTCACTTGTAGTGTATGGCTCTTAACAACATACCCTTTTAATCTTTTCTATGTATGTATGTATTTTGAGGCAGGATTTCCCTGAAATTCATTCTGTAGACCCAGGTTGGCCTCCAACTCAGAGATCCCCCTGTGTCTGCCTCTTCAATGCTGGGATCAAAGGTGTGTGCCACCACCACCTGGCTGCCATACCTTTAAAAAAAATCAAGTTTTTGATCTTCGTCAGGATAAGGGAAAAGTCTTTTTTGATTTTTAACATAATGGATTTTTAGCTGTTTGTGTGTGCACACGGGCATGCACGCGCACGTGTGCCTTAGAGTCCAGACAAAGACATCATCAGGTCTACTGGAGTTACAGTTGTTGTGAGCTGCCATGTGGGTACTGGGAAGCAAGCTGCGGTCCCTGCAAGAGCAGCCCATGCATGCCCACTCCTGGCTGCTAGCCGCCTCTCCAGCCCCTCTCAACGTGGCTTGTGAGCATTTTGTCATCGGTCAGCCTGCACCTTTCCTGTGTTTAAGACTTACTGCACCCTCCCTTTTTAGTGAACAGCATTTGTTTTTTTTGTAGTTGTTCGTTTTTGTCTTTCTGTCTAATGCTTTTAGGAGCGTCATACATTAGGGAAATACACTTCTGTGGGAAGTTACAGGTATTTCCTAGTCTGTTACTTCTGTGTTTCTGTCTGTTGTGGTCTTTGCTGTGAAAGGTTTTTGGGTTTTAGGTAAATTTATCAATACTTTTTATGTCCATTCTTCTTCCCCGCCCCTCCCCCATCCTCCGGGCCTCCTCCTCCTCCTTGAATGTTTTACTTGTGGTGCTAGTTATCAAAGATGCTGGCGACTGCTGTGCAGTCTGACATCTCCCAGCCCTAACAGTGCTTCCGTACTGTCTAGTCATAGCTGGAATGGCCTCTCCTGCTCTGAGGTTAGAGGGAGACCCCACAGCTGCTTTAATACTTTTATAATTACAGTTTTGTTTTCTCTGCTTAGCGCTGGCTTTTCTGGAACTTACAATGTAGCCCAGGCTAGCCTCCAACTCAGAGATCCACCTGCCTCCACCTCCCGAGTGCTGGACTAAAGACACGCACCAGGCCTGACTTATAGTTGTATTTTTATTTATCCTTAGTTTTTTGAGGCAAGGTCTCCCTGGATAGCCCTATGCTGACTTTGAACATGCTGTGATCCCCCTGCCTCCTGTTTTAGATATGTGTAGTAGAGTTATTGCCGATGTTGATCCCTACACTAGACCCTGGTTTGTCTTACGTGAATCCTTGGTCCATTTGGATTTACCTTTGAGGCTGTGAGGTGAGGTCTCAGCTTCCTGTCCTGCCTCATGCAGCCAGACTGTGTGCGCTGTGCATGTCCTCGCTGGGTGAAGACCCCCACTGGCTGCACACTCTGATTGGCTGCACACACATTCCCATATGTGTTTGTGTCTCCTTTTAGCTGTGTGGTTCTGCTCCTCTGGCCTCTGTGTGTTGACACCCAGCTGTTTTCATTAGTGCAAGTCTGTTGTAAAATCTGGTACAGTTTTTTACTTACTGTTTTTTGTTTATTTACAATTTCCTCCTTTGCTTTTTAAAAATGGTTTGCCTTTTGAAAAAAAAATTGGAATCTTTTTTTTTTAAGATGTATTTTTTTTATCTTCAACTATCTATGTGTTGTATGTGTATCTGTCTGAGTACATGTGTGTGGGAGTGAAGGCTCCTGAGGCGTCAGGGTGTCAGACGCTCTGGAACTAACAGGTGGTTGCAAGCACCTGGTGTGCGTGCTGGGCCTGCTCAGCCACCTCCCCAGCTCCTCTCACCACTTGACTTTTGTCACAGAGGCCTTTGTGCCTGGAGTGACCTGCACTGTAGTGCAGAAACCTTTGACGGGTAAGCCTGGTATGCCTCACAGGTGCTCAGAGAACATGGCGACCAGACGAGAGCTGGGTCCATGTGTTTTCAAGGCTAGCATTATCAGTTGAGAAGCTCAGCAGGTGTGAACATAGGGACAGTCCTCTGTACACAGCAAGCAGGGGCAATGTGTGCTGCCAGGCTCACTGTCCATCGCTGCCCAAGGACTGCAGGTGCCTTGCTGCTGCTGTTCCTGAGTGGTTCCTCCCAGCCTCTCCTCAGGGCTGTGCCCCAGATTCTCAGGTTGTGGGTGTAGCCACTGCGGTCTCTTCAGTGTGAATGCTTCCTCCTGTGTTTGGATGGTTTGTGATTCGTGTCTTCCTGGGTTGGAGAGTCGAATGGGATTTGCTGGAGCAATGTTCCTATGGTGTGTTTCTTTTAGTTCCAGATGCTTCATCAAGATGGAACAAATATAAAAGAGAAGATGAAGACAGAAGGGGTAGACATTGAAGATGGCCTGAGGGATGCTGTCCAGAAAGTCAGCAGTGCTACTGGATGCACGGTTAGTGCCCTTCCCTGCAGCCATACCTCACACCTGGGTGCTCAGGTGCTGCCCTGCAGCTGTGCCTGACAGCTGGGTGCTCAGGTGCTCCCCTGCAGCTGTGCCTCACAGCTGGGGTGCTCAGGTGCTGCCCTGGCAGAGCTGCCCTACGGAGCCTGAGGTACTGAGGAGTTACTAACTCATTCCCTTGTTTGGTAGGTTCATCTTTCTGAGAGGATTTGCCCTAGTAAAGGTCTAGTTTTATAAAGACAGTTTATTTATAGATACATTGACATGGCTGCTGCCTTGTTTAAACTTGATGTTCTTGGTGGATGAGGGCTGGGAACCTTGTCAGTTCCTCTGCTCTGTTCACGTGTGTCAGGCTGATGAGGCAGAGCTCCGGAACACCACACAAGCCACAGTCCTAAGTGTTTCTCTGGTTTTTTGGTAGGATTTTAATTTAATAATCCGGAATCTGGAAGCTGAAAATTACAACATTGAATCTGCAATAATCGCCATGCTTCAGATGAACCAGGGGACAAGAAACGGTAAGTCTACGACTGAGACCTGTGGTAAGCTGCAAGGGTTACGCTGGTGCTCCCCCAGATGCTGTTCACAGTTCTGATTGCTGTAGTGTCCACTCTGTCCATCCACCCCCTTTAGGCGCTGTGAGCATCTGTCAGTCAGGACAACAAGCAGCACTGCCTAGTGTTTATGCATTTAATTCTTAGCAGCCACTGTATTGGACAGTATAGGGTTAGGTCATGTGTCGTTTCTAGATTTGGGATACAAATGAATACTTTATCCCTAAAAATTATCTTTAAAAATTAGTTTATCTAAGGAGACAAACCCTGCTGGCAGAAAGTTGGCTGTGAGCCTTGCAGCCAGCCAGGGCTTTTGGTGTTCTTCCTGCAGTCTTCCTTGATGTGAGAGTTGAACACGATGGGGATCTGGGGATCTTGGAGTCATTTAACCGCATTTCTTTGTGTAACTATTGGGTTCCTGGGTTTGCCTTTCTTTGGAAGCTGTGGAGGAGAACCTGGAGCCTGGTGACAGAGTGAAGCAACGTGACCCTTCGTGTGAGGAGGCAGGCAGCGGCTCCAGACTCTCTGGAAATCAGGGCAGAAATGAAGGCAGGATGGAGACCAAGGAGGCTCGGGCCAGCCCTGCTGGCGGGAACAAAGCACACAAGAGCCAACTCACAAAGGTCTGAGCGGGGTGGGGAGGCAGGGCACGCTGGGGTTCTGTGCCGGGGTGTGAAGTAGGATTTCACCCTAGTGTGCCTTTTTCTAAATGTATGGAAGTAGATCTTGCAGGGCATCTGAGGGCAGGCACACTAAGATGCAGAAAGAAGACCTTGCTTGTCCCACAGTCATGGTAGAAGGATGTGCCCACCCTCTCTGTGCCAAAGCATAGCTGCCTTCTTCCATCTGGTGTTACTGTTGAGGAGCACAGGGTGTCTTTGTATTGTCTGTAGTAAATGACCTTGTGTGGAAATCTTTGTGCTTTGCATTATTTTCTAGCATGGAGTCCCAGGTGAAATGTGTGAAGTGGAGGGCATGTCTCTAGTGAGTGAGGCACTGGGTAACCTGTCAGATGTTTACATGATCCCTGCCCCCGCTCCAGCAAGGGCCTGTGAGTGTCCTCAGGGTAAAACTCATCGTAAGCCAGATATCCTGAGCTGGACTACCACCTAATGTGCAGAAAACGATGACGCAGTCTGTGGTCTTATTGCAGCTATCTAGGGTCTTAAATGATGTAGAACGTCTCCAGGCCCCTGCGAAATCCGCCAGCTGCTGGACTAGGGACACTGTCTTTGTGGATCAGGGTTAGATTGGTTTATGAAGAGGATTGATTTTATTTGGTGCTTCAGGAAGGGAACATATATTTCAAAGTATATCTGAACAGTATCTGAAAAGAAATCATCTGGTCTCTTGGGCCCAGAGTCCTGTGGCCCCAGAGCCCCACACGGCTCCTGTCTGTTCCAGGTCACAAACAAGCAGCGGAGGGAACAGCAGCGGCTAGAGAGGAAGAAGCGTCAGGAGGAGAGGCACCGCCTCAAAGCCCTGGAGAGCAGAAACAGCAGCAGGGAGGCGAGCAGAAGTGAAGCAGACGAGAGCGCGCAGGTCACCTTGGTGAAGACCTTCGCTGCTCTGAACATCTGACTCTCGGCCCTGAGAGGTGAAGGGTGTACATTGCAGACAAGGCTTCCCAGCCACGTGTCCTCTGAGGATGAGACAACTGTAGGCACCCACCCACACACGCGCCCACAGCAGCCAGTGTCCTTCAAGCTGCCTCTTTCTGTCCTGTGTTTTGTTGTGTGACAGTGTGGTGACACCATTCACCTTCTGGTGGGTCCTGGGGCAGGGAGGCTTTGTTTGCCCTGCGTATCAGAGTGTGGTGGTTCTAGGCTCTTCCTTTGATGCGTGGGGTGGGTTCCTTGTAATAATTCTTGAAGTCGTTCAGCACAATCATTAGAAATCTTCAGTGACAATGCCCTTTGTTTCTCTCTCATTTTCAGCAGGTGAGCGTCCTGGTTTCCCAGCTCAGGAGTGTGCTGAGATTTGATTTGCTTCTGATACAGGTCACTTGGACATGTCAGTGGTACGACAGGATGGGTAGTCACAGCAGCTAGGGAGGTCAAGGCCATCTCCCTCCCTCTTGTCTCTGGTATCCTCTCAGAGAGTTCAGGTACCCCTCCCCTCACTAGCCACATGATGCATGTACCTGGCTGTGGGTGAGACCTGGGTTTGCTGGGAGCCCAACAGTGCAGGGGACTTTGGGACAGTTAGGAGAAGGTGTGGCACTGACTATGGCACCCCTCTCGGGGAGCTCGGAAGTGCAGGCTGCATCTCTGGCTGTGCAGTGTGAGCTGGGGCTCTTAGGTTCTACCGTGGAAGGGTGTCCTATGGCAGCAGCCTACGGGAATAAGGCTTTCTATGCTTGTATTTTAAGTAGCTACATTTTTCTTTTTGCTATGCTATACTCAGAGAGATGCCTACAGAGAAATGGCTAGTTGTTTGATCTCACAGACTGTAAGCTTTCTTAACATGAGGATGGAGTGAAGTCCCACAGTGTAGCTTGGCATGCTGGCTCAAGCCAAGCCTGTAACCCCAGCACTGGTGCAGAGGCAGGATTGCTGCAAGTTTGAGGTCAGCCTGGGCTATGTACTGAGTTTCAGGCTACTAGGGTTAGAATGAAAGGTCCCATTTCACTCCCTACCTATGAGGTGGGGAGAATCTTATAAACAGGTATCCTGAGTTTTTTTTTTTTTTTTTTTTAAATTTAAACCTTATTTGGGATTTCAGTACTTGAGAAAGTACAGCAGTGGCTGAGGAGGCTGCCTGTGGCTGAGCTAGATGGCAGGGGAGTGGGGGGAGGGGGAGAGGGCCTGTACCACCAAAGGTGCCAGTCCACAGACTAGGTTATGTGGACATTAAACTGTCATGTGTCGGGTGAACATCCATGACTAAAGTTGATTGCCCTCTGGGAACCTAGTATTTGGACTAATCTTGTACACTGAGTCAAAAGAGTTATTTCTTGTCACTAAAGGCAAAAAGAAAATTATAAAAGCATCTAGGTGCAGGCACCACTATCTGGGCAGGTCTCGGGTTCATCCAGTTGACTGATGAGCAGGCTGCTAGCATCTTCAGGGTAATGATGTCCTGTAATTGTCTGTTCAGCTTTGGAACTTTGTGTTTGGAACGCCTGAAGTGTCCTGGACTCTCTCCCAGGATGCTGTGTTGCTTCCTGCTTACAGTACAGGACATTGCAGTGCTATGCAGATTTGCAAATGGCATGGTCAGTCCCAGTAAGTAAGGGGGAGGGGTTGCCTCTGGGAGCCAGTGTTCTCTGAAGTCACCTGGGTAGGCTCTGAATGAAAGCTCTCTGCTCCCAGCTTTGTACTGCCTGATGGCAGCATGCCAGGTCCTTGCAGAAAGGTCAGGGTTGTTTATCAAAACCTCAGGATTGGAAGTCAGACTGGCAGGCCTGGGGTAGGTAGCATGCTCGATGGTGGAATACTTGCCTGGTGTATGGGAAGCCTGGTTTCCATTCCCAGCACTTCAAAATCCAGTCTGTGGCTAGCTTTCGGCAGCCTAAGTAGTGCCTTCCCTGAGCTGCTCTCGGCAGCCCAAGTAGTGCCTTCCCAGAGCTGCTGTTTACCTGGCAGAGGAAGCTAGCTGCCCTGGGTCTCTTGGGTGTCAGAGCTCCTGAGGAGTCATAAAAGAACACCTTTCTTTACAAATTTGCATCTAGTTCTGGGTTACCTGCCTGGCAGTAGCCTCTGCTTTCTGGAACACAGTAGCACTTTCTTCAGAACAGGTTTGTCCTGCCACCATCCAGCTTCCATTTTTCAGTTGGTGTATTTCCATAATGTGCTGATGATTGAAAATGGGGTGCCTGCACCCAGTTCAGGCTCAGAATATGTGGGTTTTACTACCTTAGTCTTGTGGAGTGAGAGGTTGATGGCCTGTTGCATCACCACGTTAGTGGGTACCTGACAGTTACCTCCTTGGCAGCCAGGGTGAGACCCGGTGCATTAAGCTTTGGGGAGATGATGGGTAACACTTGTTCCTCCAGTCCAGGTGCTCTCAGAGAAGCTGTCCTGGGAAGGGAACTGTCAGCCTCCTGGCTGTATCCTGGCTGCTACCTGAGAACGTCATTGTAACTCATAAGGAGGCCACAGAGAAAAGTCACAGTGCTTCATGACAGTTCACTGGCCTTAATACTGTGTAGAGAGGCTTTCTAGATCCTAAGAATAATTTAAGGTTAAATTTTTTTAAAAAAATTGATGGCAGAACCTTTACACTGTAGGCAGATTGAATTAGCACAGGCTAGACTTGTAGATAGCACAGCCCACCAGGAGGTAGAGCTGGGGATAGAAAAGTTCATTCTGTTTTCAACAAGAACGTCTACCTTGAGAGAGTGAAGTGTGACCAGGAACTGTGGCAGCAGGAAGCAGCTTCAGTGTGTATCAGGGCTGCCTGTCATTTCTTCCAGGAGCTCTGAAAACACCTCCTACCCTATCTTGATTGTGAAAGTGAAGTGGGCTGTCCTTGCAGGGCAACTGGGGTGGGGATCAATGGGGAACCTTTCTGTAGCTCAGGCACAGTGCCCACTTCCCTGGGGAGTGGAGCAATGTGCCCTGCCGTGGTAGGGCTGCTAGCGGTGGCTCAGGTTACCAGGTAGTGTCAGGTGGACTTGGCCAGTGCACTCTGCTCAGTGAGCTCCCCTTCAGTCTGTCACGTTCTGAGGAACTACTGTCTGCCTGGGTTTTACCAGGATAACATAGAGTGCCCTTACTTTACCTCTGAAATGTTCAGCTCAGGCATCCGGCTGGGGACAGGAAACCCGAGTCCCCAGGCAGAGTGGACTCAGTCACCCTAAGCAGAGGATGTGTGCGAATACAGGAGGCATCTCCCCAGAGCCATGGCCTTGTGGCCCTCCTGGGCCCATCTCCAGCCCCCGCTTCAGCCTCTCACTTCTTACCTCTAGGCCCAGGTCAGGTGCAGGGCCTCAGCTGTCTCTCCAGGCTGGGGATTGCTCACACCCAGTGTTGTCTCGAGCAGACCCAGAGGGACTGTTGTTGTTATTGTTGTTGTTGTTTCCCAAGACAGTTTCTCTGTGTAGCCCTAGTTGTCCTGGAACTTGCTCTGTAGGCCAGGCTATCCTCAAACTCAGAGATCTGCCTCTGCCTCTGCTTCCTGTGAGCGCTGGGATCAAAGTCATGGGCCACCACGCCTGACCCCAAGAGGCACTTTCCCAGGAACATTCCCCACCCCTCACATGGCAGCTGTTCCACAGTCTCCTTGCATTTGTTTGGCGCGGTTGACTGCTGGGCCCAGGTGGTGGTTTCTGCTGAGTGGAGGGAGGCCGCCGCATCCCTCTGCTGTAAGTGTGCTGTGTAAGTGGAAGTGCAGGGTGCAACTCCCCTGTACTTGGAGGCTGGGCTCAGAGAGCTCTGTTCCAGGTCACGTTCTGAAAGTTTGTTCAGTCTGTTCTCTCCAGAGTCTCTGTTCAGTAACTCAGTTGAAATAGTGACTCTCTTCATGGTTACTGGAGAAGGCTGGTAGCCGTGCGGAGGATGCCGTCCCGTGTACAGTTGCACACTTGCACAGTGAGTTTACGGTAAGCAGGGCATACCTGCAGGCCAGGGCTCCTTTTACTCTGTCCTGAGCATAAGAGGATACGGTAAGCAGGGCATACCTGCAGGCCAGGGCTCCTTTTACTCTGTCCTGAGCACAAGAGGAAACCTTTGGGGTCTGGCTCTGGTCCTTGCATATGAGCATCCTGTAGGCCCCTGTTAGAGCACCATGGCAGTCAGTGAAGTTGGTCAGCCTGTGCTCTGATCCCAGACAGAGCCCTCTGTTGAAACCTGAGCCCCGCTGGTGTGGGGCTCTTCTTGTCTTCCTATTCTTTGGGGCATATTTTCCATGGTGGCTACCCTCCCAGCATCCCTTACTAGCACTAAGATCAGGGAGGGGGAGACAGGGCTTGAGTCAGGCTCAGCACCCAGCACCCCGCTCCCCTTCCTGGTCACAGTGACAGTATGTCCGTCCCCATAGGAAGAGGGCCAGTGTGTCTGCCTTCTCCCTTTTTCTAATTGCACTGTACTTGTTCTGGCTTCAGTCTAGAGGTGTCTGAGGTCTCCTTGGGATCATGACCCTTAGACTCAGCAAGTCTGCCTTAGCTGTAGAGTGTGGAGGTGAGAACTCACCATTTCCTGGTGTCTTGAGCCCATCTCCCTCGGGCTGTGTCTCTCCACAGCGTGTGTTCATCTGAATCATTTACTGTTTATTTACTGAAGTACTGTACCTGGCTCTCTGCACTGTTATAAGAACCAAATGTTTTTGTGTTTTTAATCCTCAACACTTGGTGCAATAGAAGCCGCAAAGACGTGCCACTTTATCTTTGGAACTGATTTTGTATAACAATAAATTCTAGTTTAAAAGCAAAGTTCAGGTCGGCTTGTTGTCTGTTGGCTTCACTTGGGTAAGTGAGAGGAGCTGAGAAAGCATGCTGGGAAGTGTCCTTTCCCAGCTGGGTAGTCATTTGGGAGCTGGCAGAGGTAGAAATGGATACAGGGGAGCGTGGCTGTCTCATGGCCAGACAGATCATTGTCAAGACCTACCCAGCACCTCATTACATGTCTGACTTTTTAAATGTCAGCTGTCACACTGAGAATTACCTTCTTCAGGACACCACCAGCATGGCTTCCTCCTGTAATGCCCCTCAGGCACTTGAACAAGTACCCTTGGCCTCAGCCAGCAGAATTCATAAATTTCCCTGCTCTGACCCAGTTTTGCCTGGGCTGCTTGGAAAATGGATTCTGTTAGACTACACTGATGTGCACTGAGGACCTGCAGTTGCAGAGAATGGAGGCTGGTCCAGCTGCTTCAGAGATTCCGCCTTTGCACCTTGTCTGAAACTGGCCCGACTGTGGCAGAGGGATCTGAGGATTGCTTGTGTACATTTTATTCATTCACCCCAAAC